CGGGGAGTGCGCTGCGCCCTGTTCGGCGTCCGTGGCTCGGCGAAGTTGGGTCCCACGCGGTCTTCGCCGCGATGAAGCGCCCTTCCGAGGAGACGACCTCCGAGAGCGACTTGGACGAGACCATCGACGTTGGGAGTGAGAACAATTACTCTGGGTGAGCGCGGGCTCAGCGGGGGCTGCCCAGAGTCCTAGGGTGTCCCAGAGCTATCTGCACGAGCAGCTTCCTGGAGGTCCTGAGGGTCCTCTCCGCGGCGCACTAGCGGAGAGGGCAAAGTTTTGCACGAGAAACTTTGTTGGGCGCTTTACAGAGCCTGAGTTGGGGTGGGGCGAGGGATGTCTGTCTGGACTGCAGGGGTGGGGCGGAGAGGACGCGGGATGCGACTGAAGGGGAGAATGCTGGAGTTGGTGTAGGAGGGTCCTGGCTGTCAGCGTTGGGCGTACGGACCAGCGAGTCCAGGCTTCTGGCGACGCCCCAGGCACTGAACCATTAGTTCGGAACACTTCCAAAATAGGTCAAAAGGAAAAACCGATTTTTTTTTGGGGGGGGGGAGACTAAAAACACTTTAAAAAATTTTAAAGCAGTCCGCGATGTCAAGGCTAAGTAGGTTGAGCATTGCAGATTGACCGAATGTGACTTGGCTAACCCGCGAATGAGTGACAGATGTAAGGATCAAATCGGTCATCCTTTTTTTGACTGCTTGGTCTTAAAGATCGGCGTCGTGATCACAGAAGCCAGACCTCCTCTTTCCTGTGACAGAGGGAGATTACCGAGGCATTTTAGAGCCAAGGCGGGTCAAATGATAATTGCTTCTAATTGGCATCCCCAGAAGCACCTTAATTATTTATCTGCAGCTGTCATTCAAAGGGTGAAATTCTTCCTGTCTTTGGAAAACTGATTATCCTTCGTATTCTCATTCTGATACGTACAAACCAAAGCTTGAAATCAGCAAAAGCAAAGATATTTACATGAAATGTGGTTTGCAGAGAATCTGAGAGTGTAAAAAATGAGCTCCAAAAACGGAAGATGCACATCAAAGGTGAAACCAATAGGGAAGGGGTGAGACAGAGACAGTTAATCAGAAATCAGATCCAGAAGTGAGAAGACAACGTTAAGGAAACGTCGTGCACCACATTGCTAAAATGAAATAGAACAAATGAACGGAACTGTGAGGATTTGAGAACATGAAGTAGTGTAGAGTCCAGGAATTATAAAGAGAAATTGATAGAGACTAGAAAGGATCGTAAAAATTATGTGACCAAGTCATAATTTGAACTTTCAGTATAGAAATATCTTTTCGTTAGTAAACTTGAAGTGAACTGCAGCTTCTAGAAACTTAACCTTAGATGGAAGACTGAGAGACACCACCAGTTTCATTTTCAAAGTAAAACATTTACTGGTTGCAAACTTAATTTTAATAGTTTCCCTATCAGTGGCATATTTAATTTAGGACATTCTTTTGGAAGATTAGTATATAGAACATTGCATCTGTCATTGTTTTCCCCTGTGAGATTATGACTAATTGAAGTTTGAATATGGTAAGTTAACTTTGGCTTGTCTTAAAGATTGAACAAGGGACAACAGTTTGACAAGTGAAGACTATATAGTGTTGAATAGTAGCATTTGACATGATCCTTATTTTAGAAGCGGTATTACTTTGTGTCTAACAGGAAAGAGGAGGGATGCTGCTAGAGGAGATTAGTTAACTTGCAAGAAATATGTATGAGTGAAACTAGAAAATACTAATATTTAACTTCTCACCCTAATTGCCCATAATTATTTCTTTGGGAGACTCAAGTACAAATTCAGGTGTATTTTCACTAAGGACATTTGTGTCTGGATTACCCACTTAAAACCTTTTTTAAGGCATAATTCTTAAAGAATAAAGAAAAAAAGGGCTGAAAGCAAAGTCTGTTCAGAGTGAAGCAAGACCTAAGAATAAAATCACGCTGACCTGAACTGTGCAACCACTCTGAATATTTAATAAGTGCCATCCAGTACCCAGAAGAAACAATGCTCGTGTTAATGCAGCACCTGACAGACTCTTCCTGTTTCATAGGCAAAGTACTAGCTCTGGGATTAGATCGAATTCTCCAACAACAACATCTCAGATTATGGCAAGAAAGAAAAGGAGAGGGGTATGTGACTTTTTTTTTCTTTTTGTTCATGTAATCCAGCCCAATGTATAACAGTTCTATTTTTCCATTATGAGTAATGTTATCATTTGGGTATTCATAAACTTTTATTGTTTTGCTTTTCTTGGGATAGATTATAGAGAAAAGGCGTCGGGATCGGATAAATAACAGTTTATCTGAGTTAAGACGACTGGTGCCAACTGCTTTTGAAAAACAAGTAAGTACCCCACCCTTGACGCTCCCCCCTCCCCAGAAAAGCTCACACAATCTGATTCTCTCATCTGGGAATGTGGGTTCTTGTTAAAGCTCATTAAAATAATGGTGTATGTGCCCTGATCTGGCAAAGAGCTGCTATTTCAATAAAATGCTTTGTTGTGGCAAAACTATTAAAAACATAATCCATCATGAAGTTGAAAAACATTTCCATTCTTTAGCTTATTTTCCCCTGAAGGGCAATAGTGTACATGCTTTCTCTGTTCTTTCTATGAATACCAGTAGTGGTTTCATTTAAAACCATGATGTATATAGTATTCTTTTTTTTTTTTTAAATAAAAAGTGAAGTATCATTTTTTCCTCAAACTGTTAAAAAGGACTCTTTCTTTAATTTAAAAATATAGTCAGAGACCAGGAAGTAACACCTCTAGTTCTATATTCTAAATAATATTACTAATAAAAGTTGTCTACTGAGCCACTTCCTTTCATCTTTAACCTTGAGGTTCACAGAATGATATTTGATTTGGGGCATCTTTTTGGAAGCTTGGTAAAAATCAAATTGGTCAGAAATTCCCCTTTTCAGAGTTCAAGTATTCCTTTACCAATAAAGAAAATACATACTTTGCACACTTAGGAAACTGAAAAACCAAATATTTACATCTTCCTTTGTGGTTTTAAAAAAATCACATTTCTCCTTGTTTCCCTCCCTCCCCTGCTTCCGTGTAATGGCACAGATTTCCAGGCACATCCTGCCAAGGCAATGACAACCTGGCATTGTTGAAAATAACTTCAATTTAATTCACATGGTATAAGACAACAGTGGCTTGTGTATTGCATTTTGTTGTTTAGTTCGTGAATCCACAAACATTATAAAAACCAGCCCTACAAAGCCCTTGGAAATTATCCAGAAAGTACAGTTTTAGTTTTATTAGTCACTTTCACTAAAACTCCTTGTATATCTTCATGGAAAAGTTGAACATGGACAGAAGTACAGGATGTAATGTGCTATTTTTTTAAAGAATTAGTTTATTTATTTAATTCCATATGTTGTTGTTGTTATTATTATTATTATTATTTTTAATTTGACCAGAGAGAGACAGAGAGTAAGAGAAAGGGAAAGTGAGAAAGCAAACCGCCAGGTCTGAGACTCGAACTATGGTCGGGCATGTAGGAATCCAGCTTCCTTAACCACCATGCCACCATGCCACCTGCTAGCCCCAAGATGTAGTGTACATTTTTTAAACAAAAAAGGCCTCCAGTCTGTTTGCTGAAACTGTCTTTGATGAGCTGAGAATAATGTGGAAATTATAGTTTTAATTAGGAGCATTTTCAGTGACAATAGGCTACCAGTGAAAATGTCAGTAATGGATTTTTTTTTAAATATATTTTGAGGACTGAAATATCTAGTTTGGAAGACAAGTCAGTTCGGTGATTTTCTTTTCTTAGTTTGTTAGATTTTATTTTTTCCTAAATGTTGACTTAAAACAAACCTTGAAAGCAAACCTCAGTTGTTTGGCAGTTAGTTACCATAAACACAAGCGTTCCCATTTGCAGAGCTTGGCTACCAACCCCAGTGAGCTGGCCCTGTCACAGCAAGATTAAAAGAGTGTTCTTTAGAGTAGCTCCAGCACTCTCACCATGTACTGGGTTTTGATCATTTTTGCAAAGCAAGTAAAGCATAGAACGCTGAAATTAATGTTCTTATCCATTAAAAAGAAAACCCAAAAACCATTCTCATTTAATTATTTAGGTCTTCCAGGAAGTTAGAAGCTACTCACAGTCCCCTGAGAGTTTGAGGTGGTGCATTTGTATTTCAACTGGTCCAGAGGTTGCCTTGTTTTATTTTTTTTTTTTTTAAAGAGAAATACAAACATATTTCCAAGACAGTTTTATGAAGAACTATTTTTAAGGGTTTAAAAATTCTTAAGCATTTATGATCTTCTTAGATAAGTAAATTATTCCTTCCTGTTTAAGATTTTGGATTTCACAGTGACACCTACTGGTAATTATTGGGGGAAAAACCTTGAAAGTCTTCCCTTTTTTATTTTTTGTTCCACGTACTGGTGGTCTAGTGTTAGTTACCCTATTAGAATTTTTTCTATTTAAAAGAAATTCTACTTTTGGGAACCAGCAGTTAGCGTAATGGCTATGTCGCTGGACTCCCACGTAGTTGACCGCGGTTCGCGGCCTGGACCCGGTGGCGGGTGCGTGCGTGCCCAAGATCCCGAGAGGAGAATGGAGGAGAAGGGATTGCGACGTGACCATCCCCCCTGGGGGGTGATTTCTCGCTTTCTGTCTCTTATGTCTCTCTCTGTCTGTCTGGCGAGCACACACACCCTATAGTGAAAATCTCTCAAAAAAAAAAAATTCTACTTTTAGCAATAATTTGTTAAAATCACTCAGAGTTGGTATTCAACTAACATTTCAGCCTTTTATAAGTCTATTGGATGTCCTTTAATAAAATAGACAAAATTATTAACCAAGATAGAGTACATGCCAAGTTTAAATTTTTGTAATTGTAATCGTTTTAGTGGAGTGCTGTTAGGAGATTAAGAATAGTGATGATGATGATGATTGTAATTTTTTGGTTGCCAGAGGGAGCATGTGGTCATCATCATAATTTTTTTGTTGCCAGAGGAACAGAGAAAGCACCCTCCAATGGAGCATGGTCACACCACAGTCCTTTTTCCTTCATATTTTCATCCCATCAGGATTTTGGGCATGCACACACATGTGCCCAGTGTGGTTTTAAAGCCGATGGGGCCAGGATTCAAACCACAGTAGGCCATGTGGAATATAGCTCCCTATACATAGCACTGTGGGGCTGGTGAAGAAATGTAATTATTGGGACCAGCAGTTAGTGTAATGGCTATGTCGCTGAAATCCCATGTAGTCAACCATGGTTCAAGTCCTGGACCCGGTGGCTTAAACTCACACCAGGCGCGTGTGCGTGCATGCCCAAGATCCCAAGAGGAGAATGGAGGAGAAGGGATTACAGCGTGGCCATCCCCCCAGGAGGTGATTTCTCACTCTCTGTCTCTCTGTCTCTCTCCGTCTTTCTGGTGAGCACATGCGCCCTATAGCAAAAAATAAAAAACAAAACAAAAAAACCTCTCCAGCAAGAAATGTAATTATTTTCATGATAAGAAAATTATTTATTATACCTTCTTTTAGTTTCTAAAAGTTAAAATGGAAAATATCCTTCATTTGGTGCAACATATTAATCAGTGCTTTCATATAAAGTGTCAGAAGAATTCAGATTTTTCTGTGAAAAAATTAAATTTAGGTTTTTTTGGTGAGAGGGAAAAATTGAAGCTATAATGCTATTGATAAATTCAGCATATATGTTCAAAGTTAGCTTCTGTAGGATTTAATAAGACTTTATTATTTGTTTATGAAGGGATCTGCAAAGTTAGAAAAAGCTGAAATATTACAAATGACAGTTGATCATTTGAAGATGCTTCAGGCGACAGGGGGTAAAGGTAAGTAGGTGACTTTATTTTGTTCCCACTTTCTACCTTTCTGGGTTTTTTAGTTTTTAGTTTTTTCTCTAGTATTGTAAAGAAGTCATAGTTGAACAGTCTTTTAACAAGCTGAGATAGGCCGTCCCAGATTAAAGCCGTGGAAATCAATGCTAATGGCAGGATTGAACTCGTGGGAAAGAACTTCTGGAACAAAAGAAGCACTTGACCCTGGACTTGTGTTTGCTTTCATAATATTGTGGGAGTAAAGCTTCATTCACAGCAGCCTGGTCAGAGGTTTGTTTGGGATTTAAGAAGCACATGCTGGAATCTCTGTACAGAGACAAAACAAACACACAAACATCCAAACATCAACAGGAGGTTAGAGGCAAGTTTTGTTTTCTGTTTTTCTCCTCCTTCATTTCATTAAATCAGGACTAAGACCCAAAATAATTCTGCTATTTCAAAGGAAGTGAGTCTAGAGTTATTTTCACTGTTGCTTTCAGATTTGGATTCTCTTGAATTTATACCAAACAGAACATTTGAAGTGCAGGAAGAAACCTGCCCTAGACCTCTGCACTAGAACCGTTGGTGGAACAGGGAGCAGTCCTTCCCTGGCAGAGCCACCAGGAGGAGGAGCTCTGGGCAATGCTGTGGAGAGGTGTCTCTACTGGATAGTGACTGTACAAAGGATTTGTCAGAGAGGTCAGGGAGGGGCCTCACTCCATCACAGGGAACCCCCCACCCCACCCCTGCACATGAAGTAGACTTGCAGTCCTATAGCTATACTGCTCACACATTTCTCATCACCACACTCCCCTACATACCACTTAAACTTGGTTTATCCCTTTTATAAACTTTTCACCCTTCAAGGCAGCCTTAGATATTCATTTTATGCAAGGGTGTTATTCAGTATATTTAACAACTGCGTAAGAAGTTGGGACCACCAGATGGCATAATGGTTGCTGGACTTTCACATATTTGCCTGCAGTTTGAGTCCCGGACCTAGCAACTTAAAACTCATGCGGGGTATGTGTGAGGGCATGCCCAAGATCCCAAGAGGAGAATGGAGAAGGAATTGCAGTGTAGCCATCCCCGCTGGGGGTGGGGGGGTGATTTCTCGCTTTTTGTCTCTCTGTCTCTGTCTCTCTATCTGGCGAGCACATGCGTCCTGTGGCAAAAATTGCTCTTAAAAAAAAAGCAACTGGTTAAGTTAAGTGCTGTGACCAGCAGGTGGCGTAATGATTACATTGCTGCACTCCCATATAGGTCTCAAACCTCAGGGCTTTAAACTCACACCAGACACATGTGCTCGCATGTCCAAAATCCTGAGAGGAGAATGGAGGAGAAGGGATTGCAGCATGGCCATTCCCCCTGGGGAGTGATTTCTCACTTTCTGTCTCTCAGTCTCTGTCTCCCTGGCAAGTACATGTACGTTATAGCAAAAATCTCTTTAAAAAAAAAAAGTTATGTGCTACAGCCAAATTCTGGAAGCCTCTCTATGCTCACTATCCTTTCTACTATGTAGTACGTAGATGGGTCCTAGTGCAGAGCACGGGCAGGGCAGTGGAGGGGATATTTAGTTTTTAACTCCTATGTGGCCACAGTACTGAAGGCCTACACAGCATCATACCTGACCTTAACTATTTGTCTTTGTTGTTGTTTTAGAATTATTTATTTAATTTTATTTATTATAGTTAAGTGCTGTGACCAGCAGGTGGCGTAATGATTACATTGCTGCACTCCCATATAGGTCTCAAACCTCAGGGCTTTAAACTCACACCAGACACATGTGCTCGCATGTCCAAAATCCTGAGAGGAGAATGGAGGAGAAGGGATTGCAGCATGGCCATTCCCCCTGGGGAGTGATTTCTCACTTTCTGTCTCTCAGTCTCTGTCTCCCTGGCAAGTACATGTACGTTATAGCAAAAATCTCTTTAAAAAAAAAAAGTTATGTGCTACAGCCAAATTCTGGAAGCCTCTCTATGCTCACTATCCTTTCTACTATGTAGTACGTAGATGGGTCCTAGTGCAGAGCACGGGCAGGGCAGTGGAGGGGATATTTAGTTTTTAACTCCTATGTGGCCACAGTACTGAAGGCCTACACAGCATCATACCTGACCTTAACTATTTGTCTTTGTTGTTGTTTTAGAATTATTTATTTAATTTTATTTATTATAAGTAGTAGTAGTAGTATTTCTTTTTAATTTTCTATATGGCATATGCACTCACCAGACAGAGAGGGAGGGAAAGTGAGAAAGCTAGCTTCCAGGTCTAAGTGACCTGGACCACAGTCAGCCATATGGAAGTCCAGTGCCGTAACCACCACACCACCTGCTGGCCCCACCTTAACTATCTTTTATGTGTGTGAGAGAGATTATTGTTATACATGTAGCATGACTTAACCCAGGTTGAACCTTTTCTTTTTTTTGAGAGGTTTTTGCTATAGGATGCGTGTACTTGCCAGAAAGACAGAGAGAGACAAAGAGACAGAAAGTGAGAAATCGCCCCCTGGGGCATGGCCACACTGCAGTCCCTTCTCCACTATTTTGCTCTCTGGATCTTGGGCACGCATGCACACGTGCCCGGCATGAGTTTAAACCATCGTGTGTGGGACACAAACTGTGGTCAACTACATGGGAGTCCCATGACATAGCCATTACACCAACTGCTGGTCCCTCCCAGGTTGCATCTTCTCAAGGAACCATCCTGAATAAGTAAAGAGTGACCGGAGCTTGAAAACTTTCTTATTCAATAGAGAATCACCTTAAATCACAAAAGGCAGCGATCCAGCCCAATTGAGCCACCATCTTGCCTTTAAGCTGAGACAGAAGTACTCTGTTTCACCTTGAAGTTCACAATAGCAAAATGAACTCTAGCTAAATGATTCCTTCTCTACAACTGCTATTCCAGGACGTTTAAAGACTAATTGAGGGGCCAGCAGGTGGCATGGTGGTTAAGGTGCTGGACTGTCACATGGCCGACTGTGGTTTGAGTCTTAGACCTGGCGGCTTGCTTTCTCTTCCTCTTTTTCTCTCCCTGTCTCTCTCTCTCTGGTGAAATTGAATATTAATAATAAATAAAATTAAATAATTCTTTAAAAAAATGAAAAGACTAATTAAGTTAGTAAGGATACCAGTAGGGTTGCTTGATTGCTCTACCTCCCTGGGCATTGTTATCCACAAGGCCAAGAATTCTTATCAGGGTTTCAAGTATTTTGCATGAATTGTTCTTATAAAGAGTAATATTGTTCCTCAGCTTAATTACAAAAAACTGAGTTCCACTTTGCTTGCTATTCTTGGCTACTCTCACAATCCTAAAATTTATCCCAGAATAGTTTGTGAACAGATATTTCCAAGCAAGCTCCATACAAGTCTCCTGACTGCCAGGTCATTAGAGTGGTCATTGTATAAGGGGGTATGTAGGCCTCGCAGAAGGAGAGGTGGCAGCTGTTCAGGCTGCTCAACTGCCTCATTGTGTAGAATGAAGGGCATGAACTCTAGCTCCATTGCCTGATTTCAAGACCTGGCTATTTATTAGCTCTGTGACCTTGGATACATTACTAGCCCTAATCTAAGCCTCAGTTTTATCATCTGTAAAATGAAGACAGTGATAATGTCTCCCTTACAAGGCTGTTATGAGTTGTTTTACTTAAAGCCCATAGAACAAAGAGAGCATAGGATGGTAGACATGTGTCTTATGGAGACAGCTGTTCATCCTGTTTTCCATCTGCTTTCAACTATAGGACAGGAATTAAGTAATGTATATGTTTTCAGATGCAACGGAGGGCTCAGCCATATGCAACAATGTATCTGGCAAACACCAAATTTCACTTTCTTCCTGATCACTACTGAAACTTCTTAGAAGCTTCTGGATTCCATTATTTTTTTTTTCTTTTTTTGGAGAGTTTTTTTGCTATAGGGCACGTGCACTCGCCAGAAAGACAGAGAGAGACAGAGAGACAGGAAGTGAGAAATCACTCCCCAGGGGGAATGGCCAGGCCGCAATCCCTTCTCCTCCATTCTCGTCTCAAGATCTTGGACACGCACGCAGTCGCGCCCAGTGTGAGTTTAAGTTGCTGGGTCTGGGACTTGAATCAATGACATAGCCATTTGACTAACTGCTGGTCCTCTAGGATTCCATTCTTTGCAAGTCTACCTTGGTATTATCCTAGTTTCTATAGGTATTTGGTAGAATCACCTAAACGTGTAAATCTCTCTGGGTTTTTAGACTGTCCGCTCTAAGTATTACCTTCCTCCTTCTAGCATGTAAGTTAGAACCCTCCAAAACCCTGGAGAGAACCCTGAGGACTGTAATGTGAAGTCTTTTTTTTTTTTTTTTTTAAAATTTTTTTTTTTGGGGGAACAGCGGGTAGCATGCT